CAAAAATAACACAATTCAATCATATGATTTGTTAATTATTATCATATTTGCATTAGACAACATTACCTATCAATGATCAAAAATGTACTAATTTAAAATAAACAAAATAAATGGCGGAAAAGAGTCGTCGCATAATATATATAATTAAAGATAATAGTCATAGATACATAAAATAAAATAAAAAGTACAACGGCGTATATTAAAATATAAAACAAACAAGTTTCGGCTGCTGGATTGAGTCCTCCTCAGATGTAAAAAGAATATAATATAAAAGACATAGGGATGTAATCGTCGAAGTCAGACATGTCAACATCGCACGTGACACCGACCGCTCGCTAAAACGGCACGCAACGCACTGAGACGATTACATCCCTATCATTGTCATAGGTTTTCACACCTGTCATGCATTGCGGCGATTCTCATTTCCTGTTCGGATGCGTTGTCAGCACTTGACTATGTTTCTTAACATCGGTTTGATTGCCCCATCGCATATACAACATTAAGCTACGTCGAGATCCATCACATTTGCTGATTTCCGCGCGTTTAAAAATGTTGCGTCACTGAATGTTATCGATTTATTATTATTTTTTTTGTTTTATTCTTGTATGTCTTTTATATTATATTCTTTTTACATCTGAGGAGGGCTCAATCCAGCAGCCGAAACTTGTTTGTTTTATATTTTAATATACGCCGTTGTACTTTTTATTTTATTTTATGTATCTATGACTATTATCTTTAATTATATATATATATTCTGCAACGACTCTTTTTCGCCATTTATTTTGTTTATTTTGTTTAGACATAAAGAGTCTTTACACCGCTGTTATGTACTAATTTAATTTTATAGAAAATTGTCAAAATTATTACATTTTATAAAGAATTTTAATGAAAAAATATAGATTATATAAAAATAATCATTTAATTTAATTTAAAAAATGTCCAAGACTTATGTAACTGATTTAAAAAATCAACTTGCTAATTCTCAAGGCCTTTTTCAACAATGAAAATTTATGATAGTAAATAATATTAATGTAAAACTTATAATTAGAATATAATATAATAGCAATAACTAGCTAATAACTAATACGATATATAATAAAAATATGTTAATTGCAAAACATAAATTAAAGTTAATAATTGAAATTAATTTTATTTTAATGTCTTCATTATTTTATTATTATTATTTGTTAACACATAACACAAAAACGGTGCAAATTCGACCGGGAAACTTTCATGTGGTACAGCTTGGATAATGTTAACGCGTCGCAGTACTATAACTTTCAAATCTCATAACTTGATAAAAATAAAAAAATTGTGTTTTTGTAATAACACATTACAGTTTTGCTATGAAAAAAATAGATTTTGTACGACCAATAAAACTTGCTTGTGTGATGTATGAAAAAGTTTACTTCTGCTCCTGCTTGTGTGGACGTTATGAGAAAATCGGCAAGCAAGTAACCAATGCCAATCTATCTCGAGAATTTTGCCTGTCTTATAGCTACTATTATATACATTATGATATTAATATGGTATTGTTACTTTCATCTGCTCTATTATTATTATTGAGACATAAAATCGCATCAACTTTGACTTTTATTTTGCTCTCTGTGTGTGTGTGTGTGTGTGTGTGTGTGTGTGTGTGTGTGTGTGTGTGTGTGTGTGTGTGTGTGTGTGTGTGTGTGTGTGTGTGTGTGTGAGAGAGAGAGAGAAAGAGAGAATTATTTTTCAGGTAATGCATATATTATACCTTGTCCGGCATAAAGAGCTAATGTATATATATTTATCGTGTCGTTAAAACTCAACAAAACTTAATTAAAAAATAATTTTTTAATTACAGTTAAAATAATAAAATGGTAAAAAACCAATAAAATAACTAAACATAATTTGAAAACAAACTTGTGTAAATGTAACTAAAATTAACTTGATTTTTATCTACAATACAGATGGTGATCTACAATATAGATAGCGCAATACCTCATTTTTAATACGATAAAAATATAGAGATCTAATAAGAATTGAATATATTCTTATTATTATATTAACTTTTGTAGAGTTAATATATAATGATAATAATATTTTTGAACACTTTACATAGCAAATTTTTGTATTCTTATATGTTAAATTGCATATATTAAGAACTTAATTCTTTCTATAAAAGATTGCAATAGTGATGACTTATTACAAATGCAAATAATTGCACGTTTACCTTCGTATTGCACATTAGAAACATATACAATTTTACTTGCAAACTGTACTTTATTTCATAAAGATATATTTACATAAAGATATATTTTTGTAAATATAACTACATAATATATATTAATGTACAATGTACGTATAATGTTTAATATTAAATTCTAAATTATCCGTTATTTAATGATACAATACGAGATGTCTGTAAAAGAACATAACTTTTGGTTGAAAGATTATTTTTCTTTGATATTTCTTAAATTGTGCGTTATATATTTATTTTAACTGCCGTAAATTACAGTTTGTTATATAATGGATAAATCAACTTTTTTATTTTTTAGATATTTTTAGATATTATTATTTATAATGTATAAAAGTAGATCCATCTATATATAATCCAAAGTACACCGATAGAGAGGATAGTTTTTATCACTCTAACAAGTAGGAACACTCTAGAAAATAGAATAAATATAATTAGTATACACATCTTAGTTATTTTTCAAATATCTCTTAAACGTAGGTATATTATATAAATTGTATTTTATTATTTAATAATAATATGTACTAGAGCTATTATATCCTCAACTTTTTTTCCTGAATATTTTCTATTCACGTCATACAAAATATATTAACAACAATATTTAATTTATGATTAATATTTCTATGTGAATAGTTATTAAATATATTATTAAGCTTATTATTATTTTGATAACAAATTCATTCAGATAACAAATATATTATTAAGCTTGTAATCAAGATTTTAATATTTTTGATAAATATATCTGATTGTGAGATGTAATTGCCAAGAAAAAACAAATTTGTAAATAGAAATCTTATTTCTATTCTTTTCACGTACAAATTTGTTTTATCCGTTAATTTTCGAATAATAATTGGATTTCTAACTGTTATTGTTTTTACATTCTATTGTTATCTAATACAGCCAATTTTTTTAAAATATAATACAAATGTAAAAATGTGTAAACATTAATAAGTTTATAATGTATCCTATACCTTTTATTACGTGCTTTAACTGCATCCAATTGAAGAAAATTTACATCTTCGTGAAGAAGAAACTTTTTTACACCTATGATACTATTTCTTCATATTGTAAAATAAATGTTTATTAGCTTTAAATTGTTTTCATTATAAATATTATTTCGAGAATAATAAATATATAATACACTTGCAAACTTAACTTACTTAATATAATTTATGCGATTGTAACCGTAAAATTGAGGAGTAAATTCCTCCCGGTTTTCAGGTGGTATTAAAGACATTAGAGACAATCCATTTACATTGCTGAATTTCCAATTATGGAACGAAAAATAACTCACAGCACAATTGGCCACATATATTCTTCTTAACAGTTGTAATAACCTAATTTGCATGTTAGTCGTTAATATCAAATTGTTAAGTTATAACAATATTTAGTTACAACAATATAACTTTTCATAATAGATATTACAGATACTCCAAATTCACAAAGGTAGTAATCCAAGAAATACATTTCTGTTCAAAATACATTTAATAAATGTTAGAAATAGTGTATCTAATAAACTAAAAAATAAACGTTTAAATAAACATATAATAAATGTTATAGAAACGTTTATAAAACGTTTGTAATTGTCTAATAACATTTTCTTTATTAATTTCAAATATCATTTTTATACGATATTTCAACGGTTCAATACAAGTATTTAACGTTAATAACATCTATTTAATTTTGTCTATCTGCATTTTTAATGTATAAAAATGTTCTGGCTAAACATTTTTTTTTAACGAAAATTGTTTGCTTGGGAAAAAGAACTTTTTTAAATGCATTCTTTACAGATATATTATTATATTATATGTTACTACAAGTTGTGTTATTATATAAAAATGTCTTCTAAAGAACAAGAAAAGGATTAAATCCCACAAAATATAACATGTATATAGCAAGCGTGCGTGCGTGCGTGCGTGCGTGCGTGCGTGCGTGCGTGCGTGCGTGCGTGCGTGCGTGCGTGCGTGTGTGTGTGTGTGTGTGTACATATACATATAACTGTTGTATGTATATCTTTACATATAACATTGTTACATAATGTACGTTACACAATTGTTATACTTAATTTGTATTTGCTAGAAATAGTAAGAAATTAATTAGATAAAGAGAAAGAATATAATGCGACGATTAAGTTCTAATAAGATACTTTTTACTAAAGAAAATATACCTAATATTTTAGTACGTAAAATATACAAATTTCAATTTAATGAAATACATGCAAAAATAGTTTACATTTACAAAATTAGTTTAATATTTAATTTGAGACTTACATAGGTCGACGCCCAGAAAATTTTAAAACCAGATCTATTAATATAGCTGGCAGAATATGCAATAATATTGTTAATGTATAGAATTGTACAAAATTATCAATCAATATTGTATGAGGTGTCCAAATAACTCCTTCCAAAGGTATCTCTTTCTTTGTAATATCGAATAACATCTGTATATCTTGTCCAAACGTATTGCATTGTTGACTTGTACAATTCAAAACAAAAGATGAGGAACCTACTGTAGAGCTAACAATAAACAAAACAATAAATTAATTCATATAACTAAGAGTTGATTGTTCCATCTTTAGATAAACTACGTGATGTGATAATTTCCCTATTAGATAAACAAAAGAGTAAAAGAGTAAGAGCATAAGAGAGTAAGAGAATAAGTGAGCTGAAGTTTACCGAAAAATGGAACAACCTAGCCTAAATAACATAAATAATAATTAATTAATGTTTACACAAACTTTCCGGAAATTTTTTTATATTAAGTTATATTAAGTTTATAAAATAAGATAAATTTTTAATTGTATAATTTACAAATATTATTAACACGTTCCATGCCGCACAGATTAATTCACGATTGATTCTTTCCATTTAACCCTTCATAATCACACTTTAAAAAAGCCACGATAGTTATTCTAGATTAAAATTTCTAAAGTGTTACCAAAACAATAGTATTGATTCCATTGACTTCAAAAAATTACAGTATATAATTTTATTCCTTAAAAAAAAAACAATAGCGTTATGATAAAAAATTTAATTTTAACACTAAAAAAAAATCGTAAACGTGTTAACTTGGAAAAAAATGTATATTTTTACTTAAAAAAATCATAACTTTTTAAATTTATAATATTTTTCAATGCAGTATTAGCCTAATACTTTTATAAGATGATGTACTTAAAAAAAATAGTATGGTTGTTAAAAACTTTGAAAAAAAGTATTTATTTTGAAGGTAGAAGATGGTCGTTTTTTAGATGTAAAAAAGATGTTAAATTCTGGTAAAAAGCTTTATTATCGATTTAAGTTATTATTAATATAAAAATTATTATTATTAATACTAAAGACAAATTAAGTAAAAAACGTAAAATACAAAAAATACATAGAAAACGTTACCTTCTGCTACAGCAATCTCAATACACATTTAGAATCTACTCTCTAAATCCGAATTAGTAGATA